CTGTGGGAGTTCCTGGCTGCGGCGTGCGCTCCCTGCAAAATACCTGGTGGGATTTTCTCAGCTGGAAGAAAAGATGGGTATCACTTTGGTAGGAAAGGAGTTTAGCAGCCGAGGCCCTGTGTGTGTGTGCGTGGAGGGAAAGTGGAGCACCTCTCATGCCCTCAGGCAGGGCACGCACGGTGCTGGGAGCCCCGGGTGCTGCTGCACACTGGCTGTTGCAGGGTGTTGCAGGATGGCATAAGCATGCAGGGCTGCTCGCCTTCAATGCACCTCTGACCAGCCTCCCGGGGTGGGTAGGCTTTGGCTCTGGAGACATCTCTGGGCAGAGGTTCACCAACTGAGGGCACAGCTTCAGGCTTTTGGCATCCAAGAGCTGTCCGGGGTGAGAGCCGTCGTCTCTCCCTGTTTGGCAGGTGATGGGTTTTGGTCTTCGTGTTCTGAATGTCTCATTTGTGCTGGTGTTGGTTGGCATGGGCACAACCCTGGATGCGCAGCAAAGGGTAGGAGAACAGCAGCTTTCCCAACAGGCAGCTACAGGAAAAGTTGCTCCAAAACACCAATAGGTCACTTGCTTATGCTAGGCAAAATAAACAAACAGGAGTTGCTGCCGCAGCTCTTCCATGTGGGATGCGAGGGGAGAGGTGATGAAAAAGGCAGTTCTGTAAAACTCATGCCACGCTGTGAGCACGGGGGGGGGGGGGGGGCACGCAGGCTCAGCCATTCGGGTTGCACCCACCCGTGCTGAGAAACACGGGACCACAGCGGCGGCAGGAGCGGGGGCTGGCAGCGGGAGCCTTCACCCGCCGCGGCCCCGCCGGGCCAGGCACAGCCCCCCGGGGCTCGGAGCAGCCCCCCCGGGGCTCGGAGCAGCCCCCGGGGCTCGGAGCAGGGCTGGGCCCCGAGCAGGTCCCGCTAGAGGGCAGCGGCTCCCCGGGCAGAGCGGCCGCCGCCCTCCCCATTTTTACACTTACTGCCTTTTTATGAAGACAGCCTTGCAAATCCCCTTGACAGAGGAACCAACGCGAGTGGCAGATGATGTACTCGGAAGCGCCCTAGCTTCAGTGCAGCCAGATCTCCTGTTGTCTCAATTTTTTTATATATATATATATATATTTTTAATGCCAGATTGGATTTGTTCTTTTCTTTCTTCCTTTCTGTTTTTTGTTTGCTTGTTTGTTTGTGTTTTGTTGTTGTTGTTTGTCTTTTTTGTTTGGTTGGTTGGTTGGTTTGCTTTCTTCTTTTTTGGGGGGGTTTGTTTTTTGTTTCATGTATCTATTTATTTATTTATTTATTTTACATCTGCTGCTAGATACTCATTTTGCAAGAGCGCTGGCTATTAAAACACAAGAGGAAAAGCACTATCTCTTCCCCAGGTCCACAAATCTCTTTTTTTTTCAGTTTTTCCTTTTTCCTCTTCAGGCCCTGCACCAGTGTCTTTGCCACACGCAGAGCCCTGCAGTCAGTTACTTGCCACTGGATTGCACATGGCTGTGCCGTGAGAGTGTCTCTCGCAGTGCAGCCACAAGCCTTAGGAACTCAGAAAAGCTGATTGCATGGACAGAGCCTTTCTGCTTAATATTAACAAACCAGCTTAGTCCTCCCTTGGCCTTGATGCAGGCAATAATGAGACCACATCTTCCAGGACATGATTCAGAGTGGGAAGCTAATATGCTCTGAATGTCTCCCCAGGGACTTTCTTGCCACTGATGATGCAGTGAGCCTAATCTCCTACCCTAGGCAGTTGGGAGAGACAAAGTAAGCATCTCCCTTGCATGCTGTAATGGTTGGTATTAGCCCAGCTGCCTGTGAGTAATTGCCAAGCATGCCAGAAGGCGCCCACCTCCTGTTAGAGCACGTATCCCCATCGTCTGGGGAAGTGGCACAGCCAAAAAAGCCACTGGCTGCCATGCTTATGTTATCACTGCATGCAAAGGGCAGTGCACTACAACAGCAGTGAGAAAATCAGCTGAATAGTTCAGAGAGACCCTCACCAAACACTTAGTCTTAGAGCTATCAAGTTGAAATCCAGTTGCCCATGGGCCTGTGTATGATACTGCCGTGGGAGCGGAGCAAGGCAAGGTACTGCTGTGACTGCAGCTAACAAGGCAGAAACACGCTGGGTACAAACAACGTCCTCAGGTGTGGCTGGGAGTCTTTAGCCTTTGCCTTCAATGCTGCAGGCACACAGTCACTGTACACGGTCCCTGCAGATGCCCCTTGGTGCTCACCCACGTGCTGGGGCTGCAGCTGCCTCATCCAGACCCAAATCCTGCATCTTCTGTCCCTCAGTCCCACACAGCCTTTTCTTTACTCACTAGTGGTCCCAGGCACCTGGCTCGCTTCATGAAGACAGAGCTGATGTTTTATAAGAGCAAAACATATGACACTGTAGGAGTGTTTACGAGGAAGTAAAAATATTTTAACGAACCCAGCTGATCCCCACACCTCCCCAAAAAAGGACTTTGACCAGTTAGAGCCAAGGAAGCACATGGCCACACTTACCTAGCAGTAGGGAATGGCTGTGATGGGCAGCCCTGCAACACCACAGGCAGATGGAGGGAGCTGTGGAGGGGCTCCAACTCCTCAGTGAATGAAAGGCACCTGCTAACAGAAATACACACAAAACTAAAAACACCTGGTTGCACAGCACTGATGTTAGGGCCTTGTGCTGAAGGCAGTTGGGGGAGGCTGGGCATGTAAGAAAAAAGGATCAGTCCATGGGGCCCAGGTCAGGAGAGCAAAGCTGTAGCAAAGGGCAACTGCCATATACCTCTGAGTAAAATTTTGGCTCCTTAATCTTAGGGAGGCAACCTGGGAGAAAGCTGCAGCCAGTCCTTGTGAACAGAGCATAAAGATTAGCTTCCTTCCAGTTCATCTGACCTTCATGGCCAGCATATCCAAATATCAACAGTAAGGTTCCAAAGCTCCAGCCTCCACCCACTGCTATATGCTCAGGAAGACAATTCTCTGCTGTCATGGGGCGCAGAGAGCCAAAACATCTCAGCACCCAGAAACCACCAGCTCAAGCCTGGCATCCAGGTGAGGCTGATTGCCATACCTACCTGGCGTAAGCTCACGGGGGGCACAGCCTGTGCCCGGGTGGCCCCTCTCCACGTCGGGGTAGTGCCTGTGTGCTGCTGCCCCAAGGAGCAGACAATGCAGCGGAGCTCTGCAGGGCTTGGCATAGCTCCACACTGAACTTTACGCAGCGGTTGATAAAAGGTACACATTTTATAGCGCAGAAAAATCAGATGGCCAAACAGCCCAAGCTCCCACTTGAGAAACAGCTTGCAAGGAGTCATAGTGGGAGGCCAGGTCCTGCAGGCCTCCGACCACAGCACGGGCAGCAGCTTTGCCATCAGGAAGGAAGGGGTTTCTGCTAAGCTATATAGGACAGAAAGAACATGATGAGCAAGACATCCTTCACAGGCTCCACTCGGATGTTTGCCAAGTTTTGTTGTGTCCGGATAAGTTTCATTCCAGGGGACTGCTAGCTTCAGCACACAGCATAGAAGGGCATGCACGTCTTCAGAGGTCCACCCAGGATTGCAAAACACAGTTGGAAGCTTGGAAGGATCACTGCCCTGAAAACTTAATGCCTACATATGAAGCATCCCAATATCCAAAGACAAAATTCCAACGGGTATGGGTGGAGGGCAAAAGGGAGAGCACCAGCTTGGGATTCCTCAGCACTGAAACCCTTGCTGTAAAATAAGCAATGCAGAAATTCCCTACTCCAGCAGTGGATCACAGCAGATAGTAATTACAACCATCAGCAAACATATTTCAAGCCTATCTGGTTAATGGAAACCAAAATCCTATTTTACCTGATCCAATTTGCTCATCTAGAGGCAAAGAGCCCATCCGCTGAAACAGCAAGTTCTTGCAGCAGTTGTAGTAGCACTTCTCTTTTTGAGGGCAACATTTTAGCACCACATTCAAGTAATCCCTGACTGTCAGAGTGCAACCAGGGGATGGATGACTCTGTATATTGACATCCAAAGACAGAGGCTTTTCTAATCTTTTTGCAAAAGGGAAAATAAACAGTGATCAAAACCAAAGAAATCAGGCAGACATTCCCTACCCTAATGGTAAACATGAAACCAATTCCCAAGGGAAGCCATGGCCTTTCCTTCTTTTGAAATCTTTGTGGGGTTTTTTTGGACTCCCTGCCACTGAGCATCCCTCCTCCAACGATAACCCAGGAAAGCTGTAAGAGCCAGACATGGGGCCCCATACAGAAACTACTGATAAGGCTGTGCTGTTAATGTGGAGGTCCATGGACAGACTGGAGCCCCTGGATGATGGAGACCACTCCATCACTTTCAGGATAGCTGCTCCACTGGCTTTGAGCTGCTCTTCTTTCAAATCCTTGGAAAAATTGAGATGCAAAGGAAAAGGAAATGGCTTTAGTAGGAGAGAGGATGCATGGGGTGATGCATGAAGCCTGTGGTGTAAGTAAAATAAGGACAAACCTTCCCAAGCTCCGAGAGGGATGGTGGAGATAGCTGTGCAAGGTTATTTCACAAGTGGGGAGGTAGGAAAGGGCAGCACTGACCCTGCCCGCTCAAAGCGCACATTCCCTCCCCGTGGCCAGAGCACACAGCAGTCACAGCTCCATCCTGTCTGAGCAGGATGTTGAACATGGGGCACTTCCCAGTTTCCTGCTCAGAGACAGAATAAAGAAACCTGATGGAAAAAAAAAAAAAAAAAAAAAAAAAGCCATGCAAATGATGCAAGAGCCAGAAGACTTCATAGTTCAGCAAGAGGCTTATAAGGGGCTGACCCATTTGATCTGCCAGAAAGAAGGCAGATAGGTGTATGAGGGCACCTTATAACACACTCTTGTGATATGGATGGTGTGGGGATGAGAAAACTGCACACACGGGCAAAAGCGACACTAAGGCCCGGCTGCTCAGATGAGGGAGCAGCAGCAAAGACTCCTGCTCATTTCCGAGAAGGCGCACAGGCAAGAAAAGAAGTTATTTGGGAATTCAGTGTCATTTTCAGTTTGGTTTTTATTTTCATTGACTTCAACAACAAGCTGTTCCAAAACACACACAAGTCTTGGTGCAGGCAACACTGTCATTGCTACAAGCATTGGCAGATTCTCACCTCAATTAACTCATTTGCTTTGATGTATCAAAACAAAACAAAACAAAACAAAAAAAAAAATCACAGCTCTACAGGGGAGGGTAAAAGCTACAGCAGTTCAAACTCACTTGAAGATTCCAGCTATACAGAAGTGGGCCTCGTAGTGGTATACAGTAGAAAGGTTTTCACAGCATATATTTTAATCATTATTGATGCGGCAGAAAAGCTCCATCTCACTGCTGAGTTCAAAAGCAGATACTGAAGTCCTTGCATCCAGACTCTGGGCACAACATTAACTGCATTAACCTTTATAGTCAGAAGCTTCCTAGTTCCTAAAATGACGGTATTTTTGCATCAATATTTGTACAATACTGAAGCAGCTCAGAAAAATTACACAATGGAGATGCAAAACCCTGGAGGTGAGAAGGGCACAGCCTAATTGACCTCCAAGAATTTGCGAAGTACCCGCACTAACTTTCCCCGCGCTAACACTGCCCCGCTGAATTAATTGTTGCATCGAGTCAAGAGCAGGATGACTCGCTTCTTTTGTAGCATATAGGAAAAAAAAAAAAAAAAAAAAAGACATAGTAAGTTTTCACACTGAGCATGTTAAATACTTTGAAATCTAGGACACTGCTCTTTGAAGTGTTACAAAATAAAATGACAAAACAGGCTTTCAGTACCTGCCCCCTCCCCCCTCAACTGCAAAGTAACACAGGAATCTCAGTATGAAAAATACAAATATATTTGTCCAGTGTCATTTGTAACAAGGTATACTGTAAGCGTTCTGCATAAAAATAATAATTAAAAAAAAAAACAGAAAAACAAACATTTTTATTGTGGTTCTGTCAGACCCAGTAGCCCAAGAAGAAATAAAAATTGGCATGTTATGATGTAGGAAACAAAAATTACACATACAAAAAATATTTATATACACGCACTTTACAGGGTAACCATCTTGCATTACCATTCAGAGCTATCCAAAATAGGCTTGCACAGTTACCAAAAGGCAGTCTTTGAATGCAACATAGTCCTGGCACAACAGACAGATGGAGGATGCTAACAATATCCAACTTAAATGAAATATGTGGCACACGGCAGGGCCCAAAAACCAGCCACTGCACTGAAACAAGATTATTTAGTGGTAGCAAGGTAGGATGACAAGTCATTTAAGCTGCTTTTTTCATCTTTCCCCAGCCAAAATAAAAAGTCAGGTTTACTGTTAAAAAGAGCAAGCCAACTTGAAAGCAGCTGTGCTGAGCCGAGCTCCTCAGTTTAGGTTTGTTTTGTATACGTTAGAATCTCACTACCTTGGCCAAACAAATGTGAAAACACACACTCTGTTGAGTTACTTGTCCACAGGATCACTGGCAGTCAGAGGAAATGCCTCAGAGCTCAGCTGCTGTAGAACCAATAAAAAAAAAATAATAAAATAAAAAAAAAAAAGAGAAAAATCAATTTCTCATGTAAACATGACTTTTTGCAGTTGCAACACTCATATTACCAGGAACTGGTCCTTGTTCCAAGGCAGTTGGAAATTTTTTATTTTTTTTACTCTCCACTTCTAGTTGCTCATCACTTAGTCTATAGTAACCAGCAACAAACCACAACAGGCTCCAGCCTACTACAGATATATCTAAAGACAGTTCTACTTTACTTGGCAGGAAACCAATCTAGCATGGTCTGAATAAAAGATTGTCTGGGTTTTGGATAGCTGAAGCCCTACAAATCAGTGTGCAGCTCTTGGTCCTCTGTTCAACTGGAGGCTAAGCAGGCAAATCCTTACGCTAAACTAACCAGACTGCATATGTGGCAAAGCCTAATTCTCTAGCTTAAATGTCAGTAGTAGTACAGAATGGCTAAAGGTTGGATGGGCAGCAGAAGTCAAGAGTGACCAACAGCTGTATTTGTCTTGATATCCTGAAACAAGCAAACCAGGACATATACAGGAATGTAAATTCAAAACAAGAAGAGACAGCAGGTTTGTTTTTTCCCAGAGAAGGTGAGGGAAAAGGAAAAAGTGGGTTGCAGGTGGCCATAAGTGCTGGCCTGCCCAGCAAAGTGCACGTGCTGTCTCCGCTGGAGAATACTACACATGAGCAGAGCACTCAGCTCTGTGGGAAGCGGCTGTTTAAGTGCAACGTTCAGCAGACCAGTTCCCATTTATTTTTCAGATGAACTGCCAGTTCAAAGTTTGGTGACTATGGGCTTTTTGTATTTTGTTTTTGGCATTGGGTTGGTTTGGTTGTTTTGTTTTTTGTGCTTTCGAAAGATTTATTTTAAACTTTCCTGCTTTTCGAAGTGGGATTGCTGGATGAGAGAGACAAGTTTGCAGGTCAGGAAGCCCACAAAGTGTGTGAGGATTCAAAAGTCAAGAAAAGAAGCCCTCTCCCCAAAGGAAAACACAGAACAAGAACAACGCCCTCTCAAGAAGGTCAACGGCTTTCAAGGAAATACTACTCGCCTTCCCCCTTCGCTCAGCTCTTCCCCTTGCAAGAGCTGGGGTGGAGGTCACAGTCCAGGAGCATGACCCAGACAGCACCAAGGGCATAACCTAGCATGAGTGAGCAAGAAGGTTCCCTCCGCCCTTCGTCCAGGGGTGCAGTACCAAGCAGAAGGAAGACAAATGAAGGGCTGAGCAGTTTGTGGCCGAGGCGGGGTGGAGCGGGGTCCGCGGGGCTCACTCCCCTTCCTCCTTGATGCGTTGCTGTTTGTTGCGCCGGGCATCCATGTCGAAGTTGAAGTCGTTCCACTCATCGCGGGGTGGGAAGGAAATGGTCTGCCGGAGCGTGAAGCGGACCGCGTCGATGACCCGCTCCCCCCGGGTTTCACTGGAGCCCACACTGACGGTGGAAGCGCCGCTGGGGGTGCGCAGGAGGTGGGGAGGGGAGGAGAAGTCATGGAGCTGCCGGTGGTCCAGGATGCCCTTCCAGATGGCATGGCGGAACTGCTCCGGGATCTTGAGGCTCACCAGATCCTGCAAAGCAAGGTAGAGGGCTTAACAGGGCAATCCCTGGACAAGCTGGGATCCAGGAGTAGAAGTAGCCTCTGGGCCACTCGGCAAATGCCTATTGACCAACAAAGCTGCTAAAATCCAGGTGCCATGATGCACTGTAGAGACAAACCACTAATCCTGAAGGTGCTGGTTCACTTCTGAACAAGCATGTGTAGCCACGAGGCAGCAAAGACTAATGACACAAGGTCTCTTTTGAAGTTACACAAAACACACGTTCATGCATAGAATATGGTGACCTAAAGCTCGATGTTTAACTGGACTGCAAGGCCTCCAAGACAACCTCAGGGAGATCTGCTGGTTGTCTATGGTGGGGGGATGCTAGACTGCAGAAGTTCAATGGCTTTGAAAACTTCCATGTTTATTTGAAAGCCTGCTAAAGGATTTTAGAATCCAAGTCTGAGCTCCAGTAGTTGAAGCTCTGGGTCTGACTCTATAGGAACTGCCTTAATAACTTGAACATAACCAAAATTTAAGAACAGACATATAACCTTAGAAAACTTGGACTTTGAGGCCCCATCATCTCTGGTGTAGTACCTGAAGGTAGCATTACCTAAACTCTGGGAAATGTGATATCAGTTTCTGAAAAAATTAGCAACCAGCTTTGGTTAATTTGGGTCAGCTTTTCTAATTAGAGCAGCAGCAGAAGGAAGGCAGCCCATGCTAGGAAGCAAAAGCACCATAGCCTTGCAAAGTCTTGGGGCAAAAAAAATGGGACAGCCAGCTCAGAGGAGAGCAATGGCGCAGGAGCAGAAGCAGCAACCCTGCAGCAAAAGCCATGCAAGAGAAAAGAACAAAACAAAACAAAACAGGGCTGAGATGCCAGTGTCAAGGGAAGATCATTAAGGTAAGGCCAGAAAACAGAAGCAGGGAGGGAAAAATGCAGACCACTGCTGGTCAGCCTCTTTCTCTGCAGGCAAGTGAGGGGTTTCAGAGCAGTGTAGACTGAAACCGAGCCTTGCAGAATTAACAGATGTGTGGGCTGGGTCCACTTTGGGGGCTAAAACAGAGAGTGGTGGGCAGGGGGAGACACTCTTTCTCTCTGCCAGACAAGGCAGTTACAGTGCTGGCTCTGAGTCCAGCCTCTCTTCACCCTCTCTGTGTGCAACAGCCTTAAATCAAACTAATCATATAAAAATAAAAAGATACTGAGTCTGGATTTCTGACCCCTTCCTAAAGCAGGGCCAAGAGTGCAAACAAAGGAAATGGTGAGGAGTTACTTACATCCATGGAGTAATGCTCAATCTGATAGATGGTGGTCAGCCCCTGGGTCGTGAAATAATCCACACAGGATGAGCAGCCCAACCTCGCTAAGAAGCTGCGGAGGAGGAAGGAAGGAAGGAGAGAGAAAAAAGGATCACCCTGGCTGCAACAGCCTAAACCACAGAAAAACCAAACACTCAGCCAACCTGCAGCAACGAGAAACAAAGCTTTCACCCTTGGCTTGACCTTCTCCAAGACATCCCAGGCCAGCAAGCCACATCGCTGCCACATCAAACAAATGAGGGAGTCCTTCAGCTCAGCGCCTAACAGACAACCCCCATGGCAGCATGCTGCCTTAGTCAAGAGCTGGTACTGCATAGCCTGGATCTTGGGGCAGGAAGGTTCACATGGACCCTCCTGCCACGTCACTTCACCCAGAAGGTGGCTGAGCCCATGGCAGCTTGCTGCATGGATAGAGGGCTTCAGCAAGGTGGTGGGACTAGGGCTCAGACACCTCTTGCACATGAAGGACTCCAAATCAGTACGTTCCTCCCTAAGCGTAAAGGAGTAAAGGATTCCTCCTTTATGGGCAGCATCTTTCAACCTGTTCGACCTCATGGAGGGCAGAGTGGCTGACCCCAGTCATGGCTCGTTGAGTGGACAAAGCGGGGAAACAAAAGAAAAAAAAAAAAAAAAAAAAAAGGAATGTTTGCAAGACTGCCTGGCACCCTTAGCTCCACCAGTCCAACAGATGCTGCATCCCTCAGCTTTCTTGCAGTCCTAACGTCCCTGTTTCTCTCAGGTGCTTGGAGGTGGGGGTTTGAGGCTTGGTGCCCAGAGGGTGCCAGCCCCGGGACTGCCAAGACCCACTGGGATCCAGTTCTCCAAGAGAATGGGGTGAGGGATCCAGCAGGACCCTTCAGGCTCCCGATACAAGGCCTCCGCTCCCTGCGGGTGGGAAACGTGTGCTGGGCAGCCTGCTCCTGCTCACCTGACGATGCTGCAGTCTGTGGGGTACGGAGGAGGGGGGGTGCAGTGGGACGTTGAAGGCATGGAGAGGGGAGGAGGCAGCGCCTGCGTGGGGCTGAGGCCATTCATGTCACCGGTCATGGCCATGTGGGTACCCATCATGGGAACTGGAGGAGAGAAGAAGGAGGAGCACATTGTTACCCAGGTGTCCCCGGATCCCCACTTTGCCCCCAGCACAGCACCGACGGACAGCACCTGCGGCCAAAGCAGCCTTAAATCCCCTGCGAAGCCCCACACGGAGCCAGCTCATGGGGAATTTCAGGCAGGGCTGCAATGACTGCACAAGGACCAGATGACAGACGGTCCTTCAGGAGCTCTCCCCTCACTGGAGCAACTGTCGGCAGCGCCGCCGCCGCGTCACCTTCCCTTATAAACAGGCTCAGTAGAAACCTAAGAAGCCACGGGCATCTCGGCTTTCCCTGCCGCAGGAGAGGAGCGGGACAGAGCCAGCAGAGTAACCCAATACAGAAGCCAAACAGCTTTGTTTTCAGAGACACCAAGAGCACCCGAAGGGGATCAGCAACAGGTGTGGGCAAGAGTCCAGTGCTTTTGAAATAAAAAAAAAAAAAAAAAAAAAAAAAAAAGGAAAAAAAAATAAAACAACAAAACTCAGCCCCCAGAACCATGTCTGTCATCCTGGATTTACAGGGCTGCTGGGCACTCTTCAGCAGCCAGGAGGAAGCAGGTTACAGAGCTGTGAGATGCAGATATTTCCTTTGAAATTAAGAAGTGTCTTAATTGAACCAAGGGGAAAAAAAAAGTTTGCCAACATTTGCATCTTCTCTGCTGGGAAAGGAAGAAGAAACAAGTCTTGAAAGACAGATGACAGTGCAGCCAGCCAGATCTGCAGCAAGAAGTAGCTCTGTTCACCCCTGTGAGGCTCAGAGCAGGATGCTGAAGTCTTGACCCGTGGCACAGCAGTGAGCAATATTTTGCTCTGCAGATTCCCAGCAAATGACTCCAGGCTCCCCAGCGTAACACTAGCCACTTGGAGAGGCCAAGTCTCCTTGCCCAGACTAGTGGGGAGCATGCATGGAACAGGAGAAGGAGCAAGGGTTTCTTACTGTTGGTTCCCATGCCGTCGGGGATGGTGGTTGGGGTCAGGGCATTGCGCTGCTGGGGGTTAATTAGCTGGCTGACCGAGGGCAGCTTGTTCATGCTGTTCATTTTGCTGAGTGGTGGAGAGTTGGAGCCGTAGGACGACTGTGACTGCATGGAGGTCCTGTAAACCAAGGAGATGTTAGGACAGGAATCACAGCAGTTGGTTGTTAAGAGTGCACACCCAAGGGGCTATGTTTTCTGTTTGTGGCAGTGGTGAGCTCCTGCCAGTGAAATCACTGACACCATGGAAGCATTGCAGATAAAAATCATTGGAGAGAGAGTCAACAGGAAATAAGTTTCCCAGATATTCAGGGCATTTAAAAAACAAATGGTGAAATACTAACAAAGGGAAGCTTCACTGTCAGTTCAAATTTTTTATTTAAGGAAAAGTTTCTATGTAAGTTTTTCAGTTGAAAAGAACATACGCAAAGCCAACAAACAGCTGCCAAAACTCAAAAAGAGAATTTTTAAGTTAAGCTCTCCCTGTAGTCAAAGACTTTTTTTGTAAGAACAGGAACTGACAAAGCCATCTCAAACCATCCTAACTAACCCTAAAACCTGATTGCAGAAACATTTTTCAAATCTAGTCACACTTACCACCTCGGTTTCTCCAAAATTCCTAATTACTCATTTAATCAGGTTGTCATCAGGTGTATGTAACAGCCAGAGGCTCTTTGTTCAAGACAGACTTCATACACCTTAGGGACCACTACTGAGACAGTCAGAGCTGCCTGGGACACTGACATGCAGCTTTTGCTGGTGTTAAGGAATACCTGGTATCCAAACCCCGCAGGCTGCTTGAAAAGAGTATCAGGTTCCTACTAGCACTCAACAACAGCACTAGCTTCCCTCAAGTCCAGACAGCCCCAAACTCCATCCAGCATATCCACAAACTGGGCCAGAGAGGCTTGCTGGAGAGCTCCCCCCTGCCCAGCCCCGAGGGTCCCGGCTGCAATCCCGCCTTGTAAACGATCCAGAGCAAGAAGACCAGACCTCTTCTGAACAGCCGCCCGGTTCCCAGATCGCGTTACGGCTGCGGCATCCCATCTGCAGTGGGGTCTTATTTGAGATATGCAGAAAATGATCATTAAAGCGGGTCCAACAGCACAATTGGCAGAGCAACGCCATGCCACAAGAGAGCAGGTTTTTCTCTCCCTGACACCAGGGGCATTTGCAAGACTGGGCAAAGGCACCGGGGAAGCAGGCACACTTCCCAAACACAACATACCCTTGCAAATCGTGCTCGCCCAGCAGAATGGAGGTCTGCTCGTTGTGCAGAACCCAGCACTCACTGGGCCATAACACGGTGACCCCACGGTGAATGGGTAAGAGCACATTCCCATCTCATTTCCCATTGGGAAACTTGTTTGTCTAGGTATAACTGGTTACACCAATTCCTGCAAACTGGCTTTCCTTCTATGCAAAGAGAACAGTTATTACTTCAAATAAGTGAAGTGTAAAGGAAAGAAAAGGCTTATTCCCAGCTAATTTATTAAAACCTTCAGCACTCAAGGTCAAGTTCCATACAATTACATTGTCTCTAGCTTCCTGCACTTTTAAGACTTGCAGTGTTGGGTGGAGAAAACATCTATGCTAACAGGCTAGAGTATCTAAGGCCCTGAAGAAATGTTACCTAATTACACAATTACAGGAGGTACAGAAGGGTGTGAACTGTCCTTTGGCAGTGAAGATGCAGGACAAGATCCAGAAAACTTCATAGACTCAAGGAAGTGGAAAGCATAAGAAGCTTCACAAATTAATATTAACGATGGCAGCAACTCCCAAGGGGAAGTGAAACCGAGCCATGAAGTTCAGACACGACTTTTCAGGGTGAAGGGAATGATTCAGATCTGAGGTTTGAAATCACCAATTATGAAAGCTGAGGCTAGCCATGAAATTCAAGTCAGGGTGACACAATCTTTAACCTAAGAGGCTTCTGGATTTAGGACCAAAATGAGTATTTCTACTTTACAGGTTCAGGCACCTATCTTCAGCTGCAATTAACACACACCTGAGTAGTCTATTGGGGCAAAATCTGCACAATATGCAAGTGAGGAGGTTACCACATACACAATGAAATTCCAAAGTAAATCAACAAAGGCTTTCCAAAAACGAACTGCATTGTTTAAGTTCAGGACAGATTTTATTCAGACAGCTCATGACTAGAAACTTTTTTTTTTTTTAAAAAAAAAAGGATGCCTGTTGCTACAAAACAAGATTCTCCAAAGATGCCCGTAGTGGGCTTAGCTTTGCCCTCTCCACTACCAACAGTGATCTCAGCAAAGCTAGTTAGGAGACTACAAAATACCGAGGGTATTAAAAAAAAAAAAAAAAAAATCAAGGAAGTCAACACAAACCAACTCAAAGCAGCCTACACTACAGAAAGCAAATCCCTGCTTTAACATATAGCTTAAGGACTCCATTCTTATCTCATTTATACTCATAAGAATCAAGATTAAGACAATATAGCTCAAGTGAATAAAACAGGAAATAAAAGCATTTTTCTTCATACCCACACTCATTTCAACTAAACTATTCCATCACATGAGCAAACCTGTATAAGGTCTAGAGAAAGGCATCTAGCCAAAGAATAGTCCCACAATAAACCAAGATGCAAAATTTTATTGAAAAGTAATGTCACACATCAATATAGCAACAGCCTCAGAAATACAAGAAAATGTTTTGGTATTAAACACACGGACTACATGGCGTTTGAGGATTCATTTAAAATATATTGCCTTTTTCTCATTTTTTTTTTAACAGGTATTATAAGGATGTCATGCACAGTGATTTTCATTAAAATTATACTTACTATGTCTCAAGAAAGATTAGAAGTAGGAGCATTAACATTTCTTTGATATCAATGCCAATGAAATGCATTTTAATATCAAGGTATAAGGACTTCAATTAAGAGACTATTATACTTCTTGGAACAGTCTGATACGAAAGGCACTGAGTCACATTCTGAAACTGATTTTTCTCTCTTCAAGAGGCTATGTAATTATTTAGCCAATAACATTTGTAGTTATGCAAGCTCACATAAAGGCAATCGCCTCTCATGCTTCAAGGCATATACTGATCATCTCAAGAGGTCAGGAAGGAACTTCCTTCTCCCACACATGAAGCACAGTTCAGTTCACAGGTTACCTTGTATAATTCTGTGCTTTCCCAGCTCACTCGATATCAGCCCTTCACCAGAGGTAGGAAACTGCTTGGATAGACCAATTACCTGATTCAGTAGACAAGTCCCAGAGTCCTCATTCACATTAGATGAGCACACCGTCATGTAAGCAGCCTTAATGCAAATGACATCAAAGGTTCATTAAGTGCAAGAATAGGGCAGCTTAGGCTCAGAGAGTTTAAGATTTAACCCAAGCCCCTGTGCCTACAGTTTGTGATCCCTGAAGACGGAGAGTTAGTCTCAACACAGACACACCCAAGTGGAATTGAAGCTGTTCAGTTCTGGGACTGCCTTTCCTTACAGCAAGTGCAGCAAGGATTACATCCCAAGTTCACACATGGTCAACATGCCCATTTGCAATATTTTTTTCAAGTAAGGTTGCCCTCTGGGCTGCATAACCCTGGGATGTCACTGATGTAGCCTAATAATGGCACACAAGTGACACAGGTGATGCTCAGTTGCACTCATCCACTTCGAAGGCCTGTGAAGGCAGAGATGACCTTGCTCTCCACACCTCAAACAACTGCTAGTCTAAAACAGGCAATAGTGCATCTTTTCAACCACACCAGTGGTTTGTAGGCTCGGTAATTAACTGGGAGCATGGAAAGGAGGAGCCCTGATGGCCACCAGGGAAACAGCAACTACAGCACAGAAACAAGGGTGGCGATGATGACTCCTCTTAGATTTCAGGTAAGGGAATTTCCCAAGGCAGGCAGTGGATGCAATCTGCTTTCCAGAGAATGAAGCTATAATACAGGGAGTGGATATACATCAACTAGTTGACATAGACTGATATGACCTGACTGGCTGATAAGGCTCAATTAGTCCACTTGGTTATTCCTTGAAAGGAAAAGGCTTACTTTTCTGAAGCCCCAGAGATGACAAAGAAGTAATCAAAACACAGCTAGGAAAAAGTTTTCTTCTTGTATCTGCAGAGGACAGACTACAAAGAAACTCCAATTACTTCCAGCTCCAGGTTATTTGATAAAAAAAAAAGAAATATTAAAAAAAAAATGCACCTTCTAAGATAGTCTACTTTGTAGCTGGAGAGCAAATCAAATCACCCTTAAGATCAGTTTCACAATCGTCATCATCTTCTAGATAAGGGGAACAAATGGGAAAGCCTCTCCAGAAAAAGAGAAACTCCAATTACTTCCAGCTCCAGGTTATTTGATAAAAAAAAAAGAAATATTAAAAAAAAAATGCACCTTCTAAGATAGTCTACTTTGTAGCTGGAGAGCAAATCAAATCACCCTTAAGATCAGTTTCACAATCGTCATCATCTTCTAGATAAGGGGAACAAATGGGAAAGCCTCTCCAGAGGACAGTGGGATCCAAATAATTTACATCCTTGTTCGGTGGAAGTCCTAGGTGTTATATTGCCCATCATGGTACAAAAGATTTCCTAGAGGTCAGACCAGATGACAAACTGGAACATGAACTGGAAACTTCCCAGTGCAGGCTGTGGATGCCTTGTATCTTCTGGTGGGGTGCCTCCTCAAACTTGCTGGTGGTGACGCAGAGCTGTAGATACAGATTAGTGTGTCCCTGTAACAGTATTTCAATATTGCCATCCACAAGCAGACAAGACCAAGATCCAGGAACAAACCTTCACTGGAAGGACAGACTGACAGTGCCGAGCATAATCCTGAATCTAGGCTGCATTTGCAGTTCAGATTCCCACCTCTCAGAGGGAAAGGAACAGCACTGCCCTTCTTCTCCCAAATAAAAAGGCACAGAGCAGTAGTTATCTGCTTTATGATCTCACAGTACTTCCTGGAGTTTCCAGGAAAAGTAAAGTAGTACTTGATTTGGTTAGCTTTACACAAAGAATGATGGTAGAGCTGCAACTGTATGAAATAGTAACTGCTAGTGTTTAATTAATTATTATTTATACTTAATCACAATTTTAGGGGCTCTTCTCCATCAGCCCTCCCCCA